TTTTTTTTTTTGGGAGGGAATGAGTTTGGATTTAGGGGAGGAGGGGAGGAGGGGAGGGGAGGGGAATGGAGGGGAATGGATGAAGGAGTGGGTATGATTGGCTGTTTTTTTTTGTTTTTGTTTTTGTTTTTTTGAATAAATGGGGTAAGAGAAAAGGCACGGGGCCGTGATTGAGTGGCATTCCAGACAATATAGTGCTTTTCGCTCTCTCTTTTCATGGCTAGATAAGTAATGGTGAATGGTCAGTTTATCATCCAATCAAGCATAAGTATGAGTAGTTTTTATTGGTTATGACTTATTCTTCACCTGTAATTAAGAAGAAATCAAGAAATTTTAGATATGAAATAGCCATATATGTAGAGGTTATTGATATTATTATGTAATTTATGGAATTGTATGTGAAATTAAACAAATAAAAATTTATTCTTTAAAAAAAAAAAGATCTCGAATGCAGTGCATTGTGTTTTGCAGCGTTTTTACCACTATTTTGCCACGGTCAGGAGGTTTTTATTGTTTGTTTTTTTTAGCTTAAAATGATCTTACAGCTGCATTCCAGTGCGTTTCTATGCATTTTTTATGCGCTTCTATGCGTTCCAGTGCATTCCAGATCAGACAAAATAAGACAAGCAGTATTTTTCTGGTCTGGTCTGGAACGGACTGCCCTGGTGTGAACAGAGGCCAGAAACAGCATAGAGATACATTACGATGCATTTTGTTTCCAGAAACAATCTGGTCTGGTCTGGAGATGATCCGGACATGGTGTGAATGGGCCCTCCAGGCAAACAAGTGACTTCTTTGATTCCTTAGAGATCTGGTAGGCACAACAAAAATGTAATGTGCCCTAACCCAGAATGTTCAAGGCTACTGAGTACATGAGAGTCAGAAATTGCTTTATCAATAGCCTTGTAACCTGTGTGAAGATCTGCATATTTATTGTTGTTTGTTTAACTGAAAGTATTTTTGTAACTTTAGGTCATTACAATTCTTAGCCTAGAGCAAAATTTAGACTTTTTTTCTAGTTCAGACAAAACAGCATCTGCTTACTGGTGCTAAAACCGGTTACAGCTCTACATGTTATCTCATTTCACACTCAACAAATGTAAGACTGGGGAAAAACATGACAATATCCATAGTTTTTATCAACTGATACATTCATTTAGTTTTGGCCTTCATTATACAAGAGAGTTCCACTAATGATGTATACTTTCTAAATAACTTTTGAAGCTTAGCAATATACAATGTCTTTACAGGGAGATTCCGGAGGACCATTAATCTGCAATGGAACTGTCAGAGGAGTAGCATCTTTTGGTGACTTTGAATGTGGAGTGCCTGGAGACGCAAGTGTATACAGTTATCTCAACAGGCATATAAAATCATGGATAAAGAAAAAAATATGAGCTGGTCCTTAAGTGACCTAAGACTACATGCATGGCCTGTGATAACATGCTGTACTTTTTTATGGTTTTTTTGTGTTTTCTTCTGTTTTACCCATCAAACTTCCTACTTATTCATGTTTTGTATTTCTTTTCTTCTAATATCTTTAATAATGTTATTTCGAAAAATTAAGATAAATATAATAAACAATAGTCAAAAGTGTCATCATCTGTCATTATTACTTTTCTAAATTTAGAGCGGACTTGAAATCAAAAGTGAAGATTTACTATCTTATTTAGGCACATCAAGAAATGGTAAATATTAGGGATGCACCGATACCGGTACTAGTATTGGTATCAGTGCCAATACCGAGTAATTGGCCGAATACTCGTACTCGCCCAAATGCTCTGATACTTGCCTCCGATACCAGAAATTCCGGTCAGAGGGAGATTTCCCTCTGACAGGCAGTGCCGAGGGAGCATGGAGCCTGCTTCATTTCCAATCAGGAAGCCAGTCAGTGGGTTATGACCCATCTCCCGGCTTCCTGATTGGTTAGGAAGTGTCAAAGCACAATTAAAACCAGACAAGCAAAAGGTGCTAGTTAAAATATTTATTAAGAACAGTGTCCACAGGAGCAAGCAGAATCATAAACCAGAACAAGCCAAAGTCTGGAGCCGGAGTGGGTAGTTGTTCCAGCCAGGTCAGGAACACAGAGATCTGCGTCGTCAGGAACAAGCCAAGAAATCAACGTTGTCAGGAACAAGCCAGGAAATCAACGTTGTCAGGAACAAGCCAGGAGCAGGAGTCATACACATCAGGATCAGAATTAGGATACTCAGAGCAGCAGGAATGCACTAGCAGGAAGACCACGCAAGGGCAAGGTCAGACTGAACTGAGTGGTTTATATATAGTAAGTGGGGTGACATCATCACTCAGAGACAGGAAACTCCCATCTGACTCTCTCAGATGATGCTCTCCTGTCTGGCCATAAGAGGGAGCCTGGGAGTAGTGAGCAACGTTACAGAGTCTGCTCAGGCAAAGAAGGAAACACAGGTGGCTAAAATGGCAGCCAAGCCAAATGCTGCAAACCGGTAAAGTCAGGGTGGAACCCTGTCAGGAAGCCAGGCTGTCTAGCCAGGCTGTCATGACGTGCCACCCGGCTTCCTGATTGGCTAGGAAGCCAGCTTCACTTGTTGCTAGGCAGTCTGGTATCTTGACCAATCAGGAAGCAGGACAGCACCTCATGACTCGCCGCCCGGCTTCCTGATTGGTCAAGAAGTCAGGCAGCCTCGGCAAGTGGAGCCAGTGTTCTTTCGCTAGAGCACCGGCTTCAAAGGCAATCAGGAAGCCGGGCGACGGGTCATGATCCGCCGCCCAACCTCCTGATAATCGGGGCACATGGCACCGGTATCAGTACTTGGTAAAAAAAATATCGGTACTCGATACCGAAACCCCGTATTGGTGCAACCCTAGTTAAATGTCTAAACAGTATCTGGAAAAATTGACCCTTTGTCTTGAATTTTTCCTTAAAACAAAACTGCACTTCTTCTGCCTAGGCACCCTGTGCCTTGAGCCTTACGTCCTTATCTCCCAACAGCAGAAGTTGAGAAAGAGCATCAGCCAGCCATGGCAAAAATTTGGATGTGACTGAAAATTGGGTGCTGTTTAAAGGGACATGGTTACATTAAGTTTAAACCTACTCACAGTTGGGTCCAAATGAATGAAACTGAGTATTTTACTCCAAAAATGTGGCAGCTGTCAAAGGTGATAATCAAAAACATTCTTTCTCTTCTGCAGCCTAGTTATAAATCATTTCATTCTGAATGGCAAGAAAAATATAACTTCTTTTCAGCCATTCCAACTGTGCTGCCTCCAGCAGTTGAAAAATAATACAGTTGCATTGGTATTATTGTGTATAGCCATGGTTGTTATGTCTGTTGTGCCGTCACTTTGTGGTAATTATGTTTATTGCTTTTCTTTTTTTCTGTGTTTCCCTCTTTTTTGTATGTATGTATTTTGTATCTTCCTTCCTCCTTTAGGCCAGATATAAACATAAGGCTAGCAGAAAGAATATTTATTTTGAACTTAAAATACTTCTATACAACCATCAGCCACATCATATAGTTTGCCAGAAACCTGCTGAAGTCAATAAAGATCATCGTGGATGCAAAGTATTTTTTGAGTTCGGCTATCTGATGAAGATTGTCTCTGGTGACTGTATCTGATACATACAGGCCAGGGATAGAGGGATAAATCACTAATACAACAATTGGAGTCAGAATACCAACATTCAGTTAGTTACCTAAAGTTAGGTGGCTTCCTCTGTCTTCCTATCTTTCCCATTTTACAAGGCTAATCCTTCCCAAGTGGATGTTACTTCTATACTTTGTGAAAAATCTCTTCCAATTTGGGTTGTTTTAGTTGTTACATAGTTAGGTTGAAAAAAAGACACAAAAGATGAAAGTTCATCGAGTTCAACCTATACAGATTTCTAAAAAGTGGAACAATTGAGTTAAAATTGTCAATGTACAGGTAGTATTCCTGATGGGAAAGTAGGACCTGCACAATCTTTGCTTTGATTGCAAGTTAAGATGGACATCCAGACAGCTCCAGCTTGTTATTTTTTACCTTCAAAAACTCTTTTTGGATATTGGTGCAGTAGAAAAAAAACAAGGAGGACAATATATGAACAATTAAACATCCCCAAACCCTGAAAAATAATTCTTGCCAACCAATCAAGCCTGAGATGGAGAAATTTTACTTTCCAGGCAATCAAGCCTTACACTGAACAAATATACTTGCCAGGCGCTCAAGCCTAAAATGTTAAAATTGTACCTGCCAGGAGATGAAGCCTAACACTAAAAAATGTGACTTTCTACTTGCTTGGTGATCAAGCCTAAGACAGAAAATTTATATTTGCCAGGCGATCATGCAAAATGTTGAAGATTATATTTGCTAGGCAATCAAGCCTAAAATATTACAATACACACATAGACATAATTACACATCATGCAACCCTATAGCAAACTTTTGGGGCCCTCCAGCTTACTCTCTCTGTAGTGGCTGGCAGTGTCAACTGTGACAATATGTGTCTTTGATCTTAATATGAAGTATGTGTCAAGGGCAGGCAGCAGGAGAGCTGTCAGCATAGTCAGTACACTACTAGGGAGCAGGGCTCCCTAGTAGTGCCCTAAAAATAATAAAGCCCTAAAATATAGTAATAGTAAATAGTAAAGGCCTAAAAATAATAACCATAATGATATTTTACATTATGATAAAATACTTAATGCTCTTGTAAACATTTACTCTTCAACCCTAATACAAACTTCTTTAAACTTGAACTTAATTTCACTTTTTTGTAGAACAACAAACCTCAGCCTTCCTATAAGGTTTTAAAGGAGAACTATGAGGTAAGTGGTTTTCACTCACCTCATAGTTCTAGCCGACCTGTGACAATGAGACTGTCACAGGTCAGCTCAGTAGATCGGGAAGTGAGCGAACACCTACCGGCGTTCGCTCACCTCCATATCCTGTCACAGCTCTCTGCCGTGACAGGGGAGGGGCTGGATTCCCCCCTCCCCGCTCCGATCCGCCAGCGCTGACTGGCGGAACGGACGGGGGAGGGGGCGGGTACAGCTGGCTCTGCCTCTAGATAGGCAGAGCCAGCTGTCACTCATGCAGCTGGGCGGATCGCGACATAATTGTCGGGATCCGCTTCAGCTGCGGCGTCTCAGTATACCGCGAGCTTCAGCTCGCGGTATACTGAGCTTAGGGTGATGGGAGGACGCTAGATCTGCAGAAAAATAGCTCCTGTGCTTTTTCCAGTAACAGGTGTTTTGTTAGCAAACGTAGAAATCACCAGCACTCAACTCCAAAGTGTGAAGTATTGCTGCTTTAATCAATACATTATGTCACATGTATTCTACAGACAATGTTTCGGGGCCACACATTAGGGATGCGCCGATACTTTTCGAGTACCAGTGCAGATACTTGGCATTTTCATGAGAACTACCAGGGTTGCAGCGGTTGCAGCTGGGACCTGGCTCTGGCGCTCCACCACTGTCCTGAAATCATTAGTCTGTATTGTTTTAGAAAAACTGTCACATGACAATAAACAAAAATGTATCAGTACTCGTACTTGTAAGTACTCAGCAAGTACCAGTACTCGTACTCGCAAAACTGGTATCTGTGCATTCCTTTATTTATATTTATAAAAACAAAATCGTACATTAAAATAGAGATGCACAAATCCCAGGAGCTCTGTGTGCTCCTTACAAATGACAGCTGCCTCATAATTTTTGAATTTTTCTCTAGTGTAGTCTTGGAGCTCAAAAGTATCGGTACATGTACTCGTACTTGTACTGAGTACTGTACTTGGTATCTGTGCAACCCTACCACACATTCCATTCCTCAGGGTACATTAGACTGCAAAGGTGTTTTGCTACAGGCAATAGAACGCTCGGATGTGAACAGGTGCCATTTAAAACAATGGAAATCCTTGACCTTTGTAGCGCTTAGTCCAAAACACTGAGGTGTGAACAGGGACTTAAGTTGGTATGCATGTATATATTTTCCTTGTTCAACTGGCAGGCTGAGTGGAGAAAAAATAACAGATTACTTCATCAACTCTTATGAGCGGTGATGGATGTATCCCGCACTGATTGCATTGTATTCTGACGACAGCCACCAGCTACCCGATTGCTAGCTCCATTCGGCTGAGAATTTTCCAACCAGTTCCTTTGATCAATTGATCGAGAGATGTTGGCCAATAGGGTACCAACAGTGGCACCTACTGTGCGAAATTCAGTACTTGTGTACCCGGCTTTAGGCATACAGGTTTAATTTCAGTCTGTAGTAGAAGTTCAGAGGGCAATAAATCTACACTGCTAAGATAGATAAGCAAATGCTTCTTACCGCACAACCAGGGATCTGTGACTAGACAATCCTGAGGTCTCACTTCAGCCCTTCTATACTGGAAACTTCACAGTTTAGTTTTCCTAATCAGCCCCCTATAATGTTGCCC